ACCCAAGGTCATCTAGGTTTTCTCCTATGTTATCTTATAGGAGTTTTATAGTTTTATGTTTTACATTTAGGTCTGTGAACCATTTTGAATTAATTTTTTATGAGGAGTGTAAGGTCTGTGTCTAGATTCATTTACTTTGCATATGGTTGTCAAGTTGTTCCAGCACCATTTGTTGAAAAGACTTTGCTCCATTGTATTGCCTTTGCTCTTTTGTGAAAGATCAGCTGACTGTATTTGTGTGGGTCTATTTCTGGGCTCTCTCTCCTGCTCCATTGATCTGTTTGTTCTTTAACCAGTACTACACTGTCTTGATTCCTGTAGCTTTATAATAAGTCTTAAAGTTGCATAGTGTCAGTCCTCCAACTTTGTTCTTTTCCTTCAGTATTGTGTTGGCTACTCTGGGACTTTTGCATCTCCATATAAACTTTAGAATCAGTTTGTTGATACCTCACCATTTTTTGAGAGTAATATTTCCATCTAAGTTATCCCAAGTAAAACTTTGATGTGTTCTCCAAACTTTTATACCATTGTCAAAATTATAATCACCGTGACCATTAAGTTATTAGTATCTCTCATTGAGTTTATCTTATCTGTAGTCATTAATTCTCCTGTCCATAGCAAAGTACAAGGAGAATTGGAGAATGCATAGTGTTATAGAGCTTGAAGGGATCCCATTCTGTCCCTGCTTGATATAATTATGAAAGGCTTTCCAAGAGGAACAGGCAGTGACAAATACAGCAAGCTTTGTCTTGAACATAAGAGTGACCATCACAACAACATAAAAACAGCCCAATTTAAAAACGGGCAAAGATTTCTATACCCTAATAACGAACTGACAGAACGAGAACTCAAGAATACAATCTCATTTAAATTCGCAACAAAAAGAATAAAATATCTAGGAATAAATTTAACCAAGGAGGTGAAAGACCTATACAATGAAAACTATAAGACGTTATTGAAAGAAATTGATGATGACATAAAGAAATGGAGGGCTGGCCCCGTGTCTTAGTGGTTAAGTGCGCGCACTCCGCTACTGGCGGCCTGGGTACGGATCCTGGGCGCACACTGACGTACTGCTTCTCTGGCCATGCTGAGGCCACGTCCCACATACAGCAACTAGAAGGATGTGCAACTATGACATACAACTATCTACTGGGGCTTTGGGGGGGAAAAAAAAAGGGAGGATTGGTGATAGATGTTAGCTCAGAGCCGGTCTTCCTCAGCAAAAAGAGGAGGATTGGCATGGATGTTAGCTCAGGGCTGATCTTTCTCACAAAAAAAAAAAAAGAAAGAAAGAAGTGGAAAGATATTCCATGCACATGGATTGCAAGAATAAACATAGTTAAAATGTCCATACTACCTAAAGCAATCTACAGAATCATTGCAATCCCAATCAGAATCCCAAGGACATTCTTCACAGAAAAAGAACAAAGAATCCTAAAATTCATATGGGGCAACAGAAGACCCTGAATAGCTAAAGCAATCTTGAGAAGAAAAAACAAAGCTGGAGGCATCAAAATCCCTGACTTCAAAATATACTGCAAAGCTATAGTAATCAAAACAGCATGGGGGCCGGCCCCGTGGCTTAGCGGTTAAGTGCGCGCACTCCGCTGCTGGCGGCCCGGGTTCGGATCCCGGGCGTGCACCGACGCACCGCTTCTCCGGCCATGCTGAGGCCGCATCCCACATACAGCAACTAGAAGGATGTGCAACTATGACATACAACTATCTACTGGGGCTTTGGGGGAAAAAAATTAATTAATTAATTTAAAAAAAAAAAAAACAGCATGGTAGTGGCACAAAAACAGTCACACAGATCGATGGAACAGAAGTGAAAGCCCAGAAATAAAACCACACATCTACGGACAGCTAATCTTTGACAAAGGAGCTGAGAACATACAATGGAGAAAGGAAAGTCTCTTCAATAAATGGTGTTGGGAAAACTAGACAGCCACATGCAAAAAGTATGAAAGTAGACCGTTATCTTTCGCCGTACACAAAAATTAACTCAAAACGGATTAAAGGGGCCGGCCCCGTGGCTTATCGGTTAAGAGGGCGCGCTCCACTACCGGCGGCCGGGGTTCGGATCCCGGGCGTGCACCGATGCACTGCTTCTCCGGCCACACTGAGGCCGCGTCCCACATACGGCAACTAGAAGGATGTGCAGCTATGACCTACAACTATCTGCTGGGGCTTTGGGGGAAAAATAAATAAATAAAATTATAAAAAAAAAAAAAACAGATTAAAGACTTGAAGGTAAAACATGAAACTATAAAAGTCCTAGAAGAAAGTATAGGCAGTTTCTTCTTTGGCATCAGTCTTAGAAGGATCCTTTCAAATACCGTGTCTACTCGGGCAAGGGAAACAAAATAAAAAATAAACAAATGGGACTTCATCAGACTAAAGAGCTTCTGCAAGGCAAAGGAAACCAGGAACAAAACAAAAAAACAACCCACTAACTAGGAGAAAATATTTGCAAATCATATTTCTGACAAAGGGTTAATCTCCAAAATATATAAAGAACTCACACAACTCAACAACAACAAAAACAAACAACTCGGTCAAAAAATGGGCAGAGGATCTGAACATTTTTCCAAAGACGATACACAGATAGCCAACAGGGCATGTGAAAAGATGTTCAACAGCACTAATTATTAGGGAAATGCCAATCAAAACTACAATGAGATATCACTTCACACCCATCAGAATGGCTATTATTAAAAAGACAAGAAATAACAAGTGTTGGAGAGGACGTGGAGAAAGGGAACCCTTGTATACTGCTGGTGGGAATGTAAACTGGTGCAGACACTATGGAAAACGGTATGGAGATACCTCAAAAAATTAAGACTAGAACTACCATATGATCCAGCTATTCTACTTCTGGCTATTTATCCAAAGAACATGAAAACACTAATTTGAAAGATATATGCACCCCTATGTTCGTTGTAGCATTATTCACAATAGCCAAGACTTGGAAACAACCTAAGGGCCCATCAACAGATGAATGCATAAAGATGTGGTATGTATATACAATGGAATACTACTCAGCCATAAAAAAAGATAAGATCTTGCCATTTGTGACAACATGGATGGATCTTGAAGGCATTGTGCTAAGTGAAATAAGTCAGAGAAAGCCAAATACTGTATGATTTCACTCATATGTGGAGGATAGAAAACAACAACAAAAACATAGACACAGAGAACAGATTGGTGGTTACCAGAGGAGAGAGGGGAAGAGGGGAAGGTGAAAGGACTAAAAGGGCACATGTGTATGGTGTCAGATGGTAATTAGACTTTGGGTGGTGAATGATGTAGTCTACACAGAAATCAAAATGGGATGTACATCTGAAATTTGTTATAAACCAATGTTACCTCAATAAAAAATAAACAGTAAATAAATATATAAAGGGCCAGCCCCAGTGGCCTAGTGCTTAAGTTTGGCGTGCTCCACTTCAGCAGCCCGGGTTTGGTTCCTGAGCGCAGACCTACACCACCCATCTGTCAGTGGCCGTGTTGTAGTGGCGGCTCACTTACAAAAAGGGGAAGATTGGCAGCAGATGTTAGCTCAGGGCGCGTCTTCCTCAGCAAAAAAAAAAGAAAGTATATATATATATAAAGATACAAAGGATTATAAAGGAAATGAGTCATACTAAAATTATAAAAATTATGAAGGAACCAATCATAATGAAATATAAAATATTTTTAAATAGATGTATGATACATTAAAGAAAAAGATCGACCATCAGAGTGGTGTTGGTGGTGGGACTGTCACCCCACTGCTACATTTGTCTGGTTAGTGGGCATGTGATTCCACTCTCCTAAACTGTCTGAACAGGCCAGAGTACATGTGCCCTTCAGCCATTTCTGTGCTGCCTGGTGGCAGAGAGCAGCAGCGGATTAGCAGGACGCGTGGAGTCAGCAGGAAACACTGAGCTCTAAGCCAGCACTGCCCCGTGGACTTACCTGGGCAGCAGGAACCCGCGTCCAGAGTGTGAGATACTGTCAGCAAGTTATTTAACCTATGGAACTTTGATTTTCTCATCTGTAAAATGGGAAAAACAGATACCTACAGGGCAGGGTCTTGTCAAGACTAAATGAGGTGAAACATTCCTAGCATCAGTCCTGGCAATTGGTGGGCAGTCAGGAAAGCTGATATCCTTCCTAATAATTGGTGTCCAAGAGAACAAAAAAAGGAAAAAAAGAAAAGAGCAGATTGTTGCCAAGATACAGAAGTTTAAATTTAGTTTAATCTCGTACATCCTCACTATCATCCAGAGAAATTCAAAATACAGCAATATTGAGTTATCATTTTCTGCCTGTTAAATAAACAAGATTTTTATGACAGCTTTCAGTGCCGATGAGGGCTCAGTCTGCACTACTGGCAGATATGTAAACAGGTGCATTCCATTTGGACAGCAGTTCAAGATATGTATCAAGAACCTTAAAAATGTCCTTATCCTTTGATCTGTCCCAGAGACTCTCTCCTAAGGAAATGCTGTTCTTTGGCCTAGGATTATATGTACAAAGCTGTTCATCACAGCATTCATTATAATAATAAAAATCTAGAAACAAACTATAGGGGAATAGTTAAATATGTTTGTTACACACACACACACACACACACACCACGGAGTACTGTATAGCCATTAAAAATCACGACTTTTTAAAAGACTGCCACGATGGGAAAATAGAACTCAAAAAACTTCATATATTAAGTGGAAAAACCAGGTCATAAAGCTATATAAATAGTATTATTCTAGTTTTTTATATAAACACACAGACTGGCAGGAATTATACTACATTTAACTGTGGCTTCTTATTTTGTCCTAAGTAATAAGAACTGTAACTAATGTTTTTCATTTTATATTTGTTTATTTTCTGAATTTTCTCCAATGAGACTATTTTACATTTAAAATTAGGAAAATGTTATTAATCAGCAGGGGTATACTAGGTGTTGTGTCTGTGTGAAGTGGCTAGGAATATTCTGCTTGTTCTCACAGCTGCTGCTGGACACCCATTCCCTGAAGATGGTCCTGCTCGATCTCCCCTCCATCGGCTCACAGGTGGTGAGGAAAGCACCTGCCAGTTATACCAAGATTGTTGTGAAAGGCATGACCCGGGCCGAGATGATCCTCAAGGTGGGGCTTGTGTCTTCTTCAGGGTTTCTGGTAAAAGGGGCTGGTTATCGGATCGCTTAACCCAGAGAGTACTGCTTTCGAAAGCACAGGTTAAGGCCTATCTCCACTAGTCCCAAAGGACTGTCCACATTCTTTGGCTGGACTAGATTTTGGCGTCATAACATATTATTGAAAGTCAGTGAACAGTTACTTGTGGGTCAGTAATTCTTTCTGACAAATGAATTCTTCATTGTAATGAGATTCTCTTGTAATAAGATTTGGCCAAGATTGGAAGTTAGGTGGGGTTGTCGCTGTGAGTCAGTGTCTAAGTCAGGGATCTCTGCTTCTCAGCAGGAATTTCCGGCCCTGCTATCAGTTTATTCCCCTCCACATAAGCCTTTGTGGTTTTCTAAACTCTGCAACTTTACAAGAACTCTGAACAGATGTTACAGTAACTGACTCTAATCAGCGAATGGGTTTTCTAAAGCCCCATTTAACAAAATATTATACATGGGTGGTGATGTTGAGAATGTCTGAAGCCTTGAGCACCTGCATCTAATTTCCACCTGTACTTGTTGAGAAGACAGGGGGCCCTCTTTGGGGGAGGGGAGAAAGCTAAAGAACAAATGGAAGTATCATGGAATGCTCTTGAAAGTCCAGGGCCTGCAGGCTCTTCAGGTCTGTCTTCCAAACAGAATGACTCAAATAATGACAGGAGTAAAAACTAGCAGCGGGACCATCGGTGGGACCAGGTAAGGGTCCTGTGCTAACCTTGAGCGTGTGGCCTAAGGAAACTGGAAGGAGCCTAATCAGTTTCTTCCCCAGCTGGTTCACTCACCAGGGAGGAGAGCACCGTGTGGGAATTATCTGCAGAGAATTTCTGAGTGAACTACTCCTTGCCACTGTGAGTTACGTTCTCGGGAATTCAAAACAAAACTAGTCTGCTGGAGGAAGAAAATCAGACACTGCATTGCAAAACCAAATGGAAATGACTGTGAGGATTGCCATGCCGTTCCTTTCCTTCTGTTTGTATATTAATTGAATGTAATTAAATGAAGTTCCAGATTTTCAGTCTTGAAGAGTGAGGCAGCTTTGGAATTTTTGGTTGTTGAGAAAATCCACTTAAATTGGTGCCTTTTGCCACCCATTCCTCGGGAACAATGATGTGACGAGACAGAACGAGCAGGTACCACGAACCCACAAAATGTCTCAAACGGGAGACCCTCTAACAAGTGTGTCCCAAATGGTCCTGATGTTTAAAAAATCATGTGGGAGCCCACCCAGGCCCTCTGAATTAGAATCTTCAGAGGAGGGACATAGGAGTCTGTGCTTAAAAAGCAATCCAAGTGGTATTTATGATGTAGCAAATTCAGGAAGCAGTGCTCTACTGAAAGTTGAGATGAAACAGGCCATCAGGACGCTTCTGAGTTTGGGGCTGCTGCTTACGGAAATCTTGCAGGGTCCGTTTTGTGGCCAGCTTGCAAGTGAGGAGAGGTGATCCCCTGCCCTCCAATCTTGAGTTTTCCTGGAGCGCCCACTCTTGCCTCTCTCCTTTGGTAGGTGGTGATGGCCCCTCATGAACCGTTGGTGGTGTTTGTTGATAACTACATCAAACTCCTTACAGACTGCAACACAGAAACCTTCCAGAAGATCCTGGACATGAAGGTTAGCTCAGTGTCTTGTTTTGTCCACATGCTCATCCTTCTCACACTCAGGGGTTCTTAACTGGGGGGTGGGATAGGGCCCTGGGGAGCTTTCTCAAAGTGCATGTGCCTGGCCCACGCTGCAAGCCCGATTCTGAGAAGCCTTTTGAGGAGAAGGATCCTGGGCTCATGGCCTTCCTGATTCTGATGGTGCCTCCTGCCCAGTCAAGAACCTTGCTCAGTGGAGGGCGTGGAATGAAGAGGAGAATGACCCTTCCCCAGCCTGTTGACTTGCCCTTTCTTCTTTCTCAACCCCTTCTTTCTCTCCTCTGACCTTTTTTCTTCCTCTGCTTCTCTCCCAGGCTACTACCCAGGGCTGGTAACTCCCCTGAAGAAAGTGTTAATCCATGGCCCAGAATAATTATGCTGTTTGCGGAGCCTCGGCTAACAGCATACCAGACACTGCACTTTCCCCTCGGGCCTTTCTGGGGCCAGACCTCATTATTATCCTCCTTTCTCTCAACCTCAGGGGCTGAAGAGAAGCGAGCAGAGCAACATGCTGGAACTCTTCCGCCAGAGGCTCCCCACTCCGCCCTCAGGGCCAGAAGGCTCCAGCTCGCTGTCCCTGCTGGCTCCCACACCAGAACAGGAATCATCTCGCATCCGCAAGCTAGAGAAACTGATTAAAAAGAGACTGTAGGAGCACACCTGGCCAGTGACCCTCAGCACCCAGCTCCCTGGAAGCCCCCTACCCCTCCTGCACTCCCCTTGACTCTCAGGTTGTCGATCTTGAAACTTCCTGGGACGTTTGGGTTGTTACTGTGTCTCTCTCTGCCCTGTCTTAGTTCCTGTCCTGATCAGAGAAGCCGAGTAAGGGTGGGTTATAAAAAGGCAGTTTAGATGGTCTCTGATTCCTGCAGCAGAGGCAGCAGTGGGTGAAAGGTCCCTGCTCTGCGCTTGCTGTTCCTGGGCTGCTTTCGACTGGTCCAGTGGTCACTGACTGTAGCCTCACCTCTGGCACGTGGCCCTCTTCCTTACCATGCACCTGTCCAGGCATTTTGGGTGAGAAAGCCTGGATCTCTCCCCTTTCTCCATCTGCTGCTGGTTGAGGTTACCTCTGCAGCCAGAACCTAAGAGATGTCCTCCCCGCTCTCTGGGTTTGGCTCTCTGGCCCGAGTTAGTGAAGTGGCAGATTACAAATGTAGGAAACTAGCCTTTCTTTATGAAGGCAGTGGAAGCAGGAGCATTCTTCCATGTCAATCCCAGTTTCCTGGTACATATTGTGCTTCTGGTACTTTTCCTAACTTGGCCAAGTTATCCCTGTGTCCTCATTTCTCAGTAACCTCCACTTTCGTCTCTCTATACGTCTAAGGAGAGATTCCTTCTGTGTCTCTCATCCAGGAGGCTTGTACGTGCCAGGCAGGTGTCTTCTCTGCTGCTGGCCTGGGTATGGGGGCAGACCCATATCTGACTTGGAGAGAGGGTTCTGCTTGGCACACCTAGTGCGTGACGTAAGCAGATTGTTTTCTCCATTTCTTTACTTGCGCTCTGCTCCTGACTTCCAGGGGAGGGATTGACTTCTCTGAAGGGAATCCAGGGCGTTTTCCTAGAAAAAATTTCCTCCTCAGATGAAGCTGTGGGACAGCCCAGGAGGTCTGTACCCTCTAATGCCCTTCCTACCCATTCATGTTCAAATCCAGTGTACTTTCCAGAATCATCTGAAAGAACAAAGGTAATGTGCAATACCAGAGTGACATATTACTTGATTACTAACGAGAAAGAACCTAGGGCCATGGATAGCTAAGGAACAGAATACTGACTTTAAATGCCACCTCAGCACCTGGTGCATCCCAGAACGCCCACTGGCCTGCCCGTCTGTCCGCCGCGGGCTCTTGGCCAGCGCAGCTTTGCAAAAGAGAGTTGCCTCAGAACAGCTTCAGCCCTCGCACATCTTCCTGCATCACGAGAACAGGCAACCCATCGGGTAGTTGCCCTGATGCACCTGGTTCACTGGAAACTGAGCCTCAGTTAACCGTGACCATGGCCTCAGGGTAACCTCTGTTAGTGTCAGCATTTGTTCAGGAATCATGAACAGTTTGTTGGCCAGGTGGGGAGAGAGCTAAGGAGAAAGGTGGAGCTCTTTACAGAAAACGCACATAACAGGCCTCAGGATAAAATTAGGATATCAAATAGCACTCAGAAATGAGTGTTCAGGAGAGAGGAAGTTTCCTGAAAATCCATAAGGCTTGTGACAGCCCTAGAATAGGAAACTTTAACATTTGAAAATCTGACCGGAAACATTGATTATTTGTTATTGATTATTTCTCCTCTGCTTGTTTTCTTATAACCACTCTGCACTGTTCCCCTTCCCTCTCCATCAGCCTTTCTCTCAGACTCAGTCCATCGGCCCTGACTTTGATCCTGGACCTCAGTTCCTCATCAGCCTCTAGCCTATTCTTGCTAGTCGGCATGACTCTTATGTACTAAGCATCTCAAACTCCAGAATACTGAGAAGAAAGTATATGTGGAAGACAGAGTGTGGCCTTTAGCTGAGCTCTATTAGGAAAAGACTGCTAAATAGAAAAGTGCAGGAAAGGTTGGGAAGGGACTCGGAGAGACCCCGGCAGCTCGGGAGATAGATCTCATTGCCTGGACAGCCATTGTGTTGCTCTGGTGGAGTTACACAGCTCGCACTAATTGAGCTTAACATTCTCTTCCCGCTTTTGAAAGAAGGGGCTGTGGGCCCATCTCCAGACAGCACAGTGGCTTCAGCTGTCTGTCATGGACCTGGGGAGCCGGGAAAACCAGTGGACTCCTGCACCTGGTTTTTGTCACTCTCAGTGTTTACAGATCCACATTTCTCTTTTGGTTCATTGGTGAGGAGTCATTTTCTGGATGTCTCCATAATGGCATTGAGATGTCAAGCCGCTGTTTTCCCCCGGTTGGTGGTCACAGCCAGGGAAGTTGTGTTCTTGATTTATTACGTTGTCAGTAATCTCCAGGGAGCCAACAGATGTCAGTAGGAGTTATGTTAAATGTCTCATTGATGAGGTCTGAATGCTGTGTGTGCATCCTGTAGTGTCAGACAGAGCATGTTTCTCAACTAGGGGTATGCATCAGAATTGCCCAGGGCCCTTTTTACAAATGCAGATGCCTGGAGATTCTGAATAAGTGAGTCTGGATTAGGGCCCAGCGTACAGGTTTAAAAGTTCCATAGGTGATTATAATGTTTACTCCTTGTTAAGAACCATTGCAATAGAGAGAAATTTGCTTTATTGAAGGGTTCTATAGCACATTTTCATGGACATATATTTTTTCCTGGCTCTCTAAGCAAGTGTAATTACTGTACAATTGGCTGATACCAACACGGTTAAGATTTTTTGCTGATAGCCAGCAGCTTTAATTTTAAACTTGTGTCGATGGTAGGGACCATGCCAGAAGTCATGCTGTCACCATACTGATGAGGATTCTTCCTGTTTTGATGACCAAGCCCCAAACAGAAAGTTTATTTATTACTGTCACTTCAAAATAACATGTATAAAGGAGCACTCATTGATAAAAACAGTAGCTAACAACTCTGTTGTTCAGCTAAGTTAGATGTTGTACCCGTTGCTTCCCCCCACTGTCTCTAGCCCCTTAAAAAAAAAAAAACTTTGAAGTCACTTTATGTTGGTTAAAATAAATATTGGTAATTTATAATTGAAGAAGAGTTTGCTGCTTCTCTTATTATGAACAGACTTCCTCATAGCTGGCTTAGGGGTGGCCAGGCTGGAGAAAGTTCTGTTTGGATCATAACAGTGAAACAAGAACCACAATGGACAGGGTGTTGTGACCTCCAAATTCCGTTTTGGAATTAACACTGACTACCGCCACTCCTCCGTCTCTTGGAGAACAAAGAACCAATAACTAGGACTTTGCCCGCCACCCAGATAGGGGTGCCTGCTTTCTCATGCCAAGGGTGGCTCCTCAAGACAAATCAACGAGGCCCGAGAGCAAACTGCCAGAGACCAGTGGACAGTTACAGGGCAGACACAGTGAGCAGGCAGGTCTGTGGGGGCCACCTGATGCGGGGGATGTTACACCGGCCCATCCTGAATTGCCCTTGGACAAGGAAACGTAGTTCCCTGTTTACGGAATGCTAGGGAGAATGCCCAGAGTTCACAGCTGGAAATGTAATTCCTCTCCCTAGGAAGAGAAATCTCCAAAATAACTAGCTTGCTTGAGGGTGTAAGCAAGTGTTTCACACTTCTTGTGTACTCCGAGTCAGATTGCTAAAAATAAAGTCATTAGAACTGCACTGCACCATTTAAACAATGGCCTTGGAAACATGGACGCCTGAAAAGCTGGCATGTGGAAAGAGTACTGTTGGATTTTATATAGTAAATAAAAATTTCCAGTCTCATTCTAGTATTTATCAAAATCAATAGCCTCCCGGACCCTCCAAGTTCTATACCTTTGGGAGATATCAATTTCCTTAAAATAAAGGATTGCTTTTTTGTGTAAATATCTCTCATTTTCCCCATCTGGAAGTGATTTCTTGGTGCATATTGGAGCATAAAATACTACAGTTAATTAAAGCATTACTGGACGTCATTTGCTAGGATGATTTCCTTACTGTTGACAGAAAACAGAACAGACTATAGGAAAGAATTAGCAAGCCCATAAACCTTGGGCTCCCCTCTCTGCGTCTGCCCTTCTCCTGGTGAAGCTGTGCCCCTCCCTTGGCTGCCTACAGAAGCAGCGCCCCAAACCAGAATGTGGTGTTCAGCAGCAAGGTCCTGGCATGTCCAGCCGTGGTGGAAACCCTCTCTGTAAATATGTATAAAGTGTTCTGCTTCTGATTTGGAACCCTTCTTGCCCTCTGAATTTCTATCCTGTTGACTTTCCTTTCTCCACTTGACCGTTCCAGTCCCAGCCTGCTTTTCCATGTGACTGCCAAATAATTCCTCTCCTGTGCACATTAAGTTAATCCTGTTTCCTTAATAACTGGGTGGGCATTTTGCAGTGAACTTTTTGGGAAGTCTGATGTTTCTTTCAGCAGTGGAAAATCTGTTGCAGCACTTCCATTAGGTTGGCTTCGAGAGCATTACCTAGTTTCCATTCTTTCTTTTCACCAGCTCCCCACTTTAACAGGGCAGCCAGAGATCAAGCTGATGAGCAAAAAATACATTTCCGTATAACCCACCTAGGAGAGCGGTGCACGATGACTCACCTGCCAGCTTCTCTTCCTGCTCACCTACATAACCAGGCGTGGGAGGTGCCAGTAAGCAGTGGGATATGAAGAACGTGTCCACTTGAAACAAAAGCAGCCTGGAACTGGAAACTTCTGCAGAAGACCTGGTCTCCAGGTCTGCTTCTGGCACGTGGACATTGGAACAGTCATTGCTCCTCGGAGCCTCAGTTTTCAGTATCTGTGAAAGGCGATTATAGGGCTGTGATGGCCACCCAGGACCAGGTTCTGGGCACATGCTCTGTAAGCCATAAGACAGTGTGAAATGAGAAGGGTTTGTTATCACTCTCCAGGCCTGCACCACAGGTGGCTGGCCTGACTGGATGGCGGGTGGCCAGAGGGCTTGTTCTGTCCCTGGGCTTCCGTGAACAAAATGGTGACATCCCCTGCGTCTGTGTGCAGGCTGCATCTGCAGCAAGCATCAGAATAGCTAGTCTTTGCCCTTTTAGGGCATGCTTCTGATATGCAACTCATT